GGGAAAGGGGAGGAAGAAAAAAAAAAAGAGGGGGGGGGGGGGGGGGGGGGAGGTAAGGGAATCATAGTGGGCTTTGACCACGAGAAAGAAATAACATGTTTTAATACCAACTGGATTATAGGAAAATCCTAACCACTTTGTTTGAAAGACTGAAAAAGAACACATTCTGTTATCGCTTTAGATGTGTGCACTCATCATTATTGTAGTTTATAAGGTTGTAGAGGCAGAAGTATAACAAACCTACTCTTTTTTCACTTATATCTACATGACTACAGACTCCAATTTGTTACAACTCAGTCTTTAGCTTTTCTGTGTATGTTTTATGTAGAAGAATTCAATTAAGTAGAGCTGTGTATGAGAGAGATATGTGGTTAATTGATGTGGGTTGCATAGAGTTAAGCTGCATAAGCTGTGGTGAGTAAACAGGCCATCAGCAGAAACTTAGCCAGATGCAACCCCCTGCTTCCTCTCACTTCTGCTTTATATTAAAGTTACCCACCCATACAGCATATGGTGTATGGGTGGGTAACTTTAAGCTTGTTTTCAAAGTAGTTATAACACTTTTTTTTTTTTTTTGTAGTGTCTTAGATTATTCTGGTGTCTTCCAGTCCTGTATGTCACAATCTCTTTAAATACTAGTTGCTCAGATCATATCATTAATGTGTAAATTCACCTTTGCAGTCAAATTTGAGAAACTCCAGGAGATATGTTTGTTATGTATTCCCATTCACACATCATACCTGAATATATATTTTTTTAACATGACCTTTTTATCTGCTTCTTTGGAGTAGGTTTATACATAGGACACTATAGGCAAACTTGTATTGGCTTGAATAGATGACAGTATGACGCTAAGGAGCAGACTTGGGCAGTTTTTTAAAAGTCTGCAACCACATTGATTATGCCTGGCGCTGATTTTTTCATACTGCAGCGACCTCAATCCAACACCTTCACTCGGGGGCAGTCCTCTTGACCTCAGACAGGGGAAGGGGGGTCTGAAAGCACATGTGAAACATAAAAAGACAAAAAACAGAGGCACCTCCTCCTTGTGAAATTTTGTTTTAATTATATAACTAAAAGTAGATAAAAGTATTCACAAATGTAACATGGATATAGGCATGCACATCAATCCAGCCCTCCAGGCTCTATGAACAGTCTTACACCATGGAGTAATCCACCATCATTGGACTTCCAGTGATATAAATCCTCTTGCTGTCTTGTATCAGAATAAGGATGGTGGGCACACTTTCCATTAACCAAAAGTGCCCTGCGCTCCACAGACCAGAAGTCCACCCATTGCTGACATCATATTTGCCGAGACAAATATGAGATCAGCAGTGGGTAATTTCTGGTCTGTGGAGCTGGCTAGTATCCACATCCTGATACTAACCAGTGTGAGGATTTACAGTAAATCACTGTGCATCCCGTAATGGTGGATTACTCAATACATTTGTTAGTGATATACTTTTATTAATATTATTATAATGATATTTAACAAGGAGGAGTCACCTCTGTTTTGTCTTCTAGTTTTTTTAAAGTGCACTGACATGCAAAGCAGTATGCAAGCCTAAGATGTTTAACCCTTTAATAGGACAAAGTGTGTTCTAATTGACACTTCATTATCAATTGTAATGTCAAGTGAAAATCTGCCAGCACAGTATAGAAATGGTTAATTATGGTAGACATAACTTCCCGCAGCCTCCTTTACATCACACAGAAAGGAAAGCTTTTTAGAAAAAAAGAATTACAAATGGAAGCAGCAATTTGTAAATATTTCTTTTGAGTTAAGCTGTGAATGTGAACATGTAACTAATACATGTAACAAATGCATAGGTGTTCCAAATCTCAATTTGCTTTAAAGTTTATTTCCTCTTTGCACCCAAAGTTGTGAATTCATAAAAAAAAAAAAATTGTGCCGGTCATGGTATAACAGTGTCACAATTGTTTTCCATTTCTTGCAGCATATATGGAAGACCTGGCACGATGTGTGGAGCAGAGTAGAAGGTTAATCATCGTGCTGACACCAGATTATGTCATCAGAAGAGGCTGGAGTATTTTTGTGCTGGACAGCAGACTCCATAACATGCTAACCAGTGGTGAAATCAAAGTCATATTAATAGAATGCACCAACCTGAGGGGGAAAGTGAATTATCAAGAGGTGGAATCCCTAAAACATGCTATCAAACACCAGTCACTCATCAAGTGGGATGGTCCAAAAAGCAGCAAACTTAATTCAAAATTTTGGAAGCGTTTGGTCTATGAAATGCCCACAAAAAAGAAAGAAGTACTATCCAGGCAGCATGTAATGGATATCGGGGAACAGAGTCTTTTTGGAGACTTGCAAACTGTACCCTCCATTGCCATGACAGGGACATCTGGCACGCTGGCACCAGCCCAAGAAATTACCAGTTACCACCATGCAGAGGCCATGCAAATGAGACATTTCTGCAGGGCTTATGAGAAACCAGCTCCGCCTTTGCCAGTGGCACCTCTAGGCAATCACCATACATATTGCAACATACCATTAACGCTGCTCAATGGACGCCTGAACCACAACAGCGTGGGTAAAGAACCACAGGAGTATCATGGCAACAATACTCTTATACCATTCACTTCAAGAGAGCTTGGTATTTCCAGTGATATCTGGTAATGCAATAGACCTGGTAAAGACATAGACCTGTTTTTTTTTTTTTTGCTGCTGTACAAGCTCTCAGAAGTTTTAATGAACCTTAAATTCATGCCACAGGAGTGCCAAAACAAGCGTATAAGCAGTGGCACATTTACTCAGTTTTCTACTGGAACGATTTGTTTACAACAACAAAATATTGATATCTACTTTTCTTTTTTAGTTTCAACATAGTTATAAGAACTACAGTGTAAATGTTTTATTGCCATGTCAGGCAAAACAAAAATACATTATAAATATTTTAGATTAGACGTCGCAATCTGGCGGACCTAAGTACAGTATTCGAAGACATGAGTATTTCTATATATTTCAAAAAAAAATTCAGTACATTTGAAACAAATAAAAAAAAAATTAAATATAGTTACTTTTTAGACTTCTAATTATGCAATTATCATAGCACATTCTGAGAACATTTCTTATTTCTAAAGAAGGGTTTGTGTGATAAGGGTTGACTGGCCTCATCTGAGCCTATCACATGTCCATGATTTTCAGCCAATAAAAATGCACAACATATTCTACATAGTAGTGATATCTTTCAGTGTTAGAGAGGAATACATTGGTAAGTCTCTGGCAGTGAGAGGGATGTTTTTGCACACCAGGCTGTTTTGTGTCATTCAAGCACAACATTTTCATCATTGTATACATACTGGAAGCATGATTTTGTTTTGTTTAAAAACAGTTTATCAAATATTATGAAACACTGTTGAAAGTAAACATTTTTATGAGGTGCAATTTAATAAGATCTCCTGTGAAATAACTAAAGTGGAAATATCATATATGTTGCTGGCTGATGCATCGCTCAATAGATATTAAGAAACAAACTAAATTCAGAGGTAAAAATTCTGTTTTGGGCAAAAAAGCTTAACTCTAGCTTCTTTGTCAAGCATAGGTTCGAGTAAGGATTGGGTTAGGGCTTTTGCCAGGTTTTATTGTTGTGCAACCCAACTTTCTGTCTTAGTAAAACCTTGTTATACCCCGACAGCAGGGTGTCACTAGGAAAAGAAGTAGGCCCAAACATACCTGTGGGACATAGATGTTTTCCACCTTATGAAAATATGTTTTAGGTCTCCATTTCCCCATGTTCCTTGTACCAGTGATGGGGCACAAGAAGTGAGGGGGAATCTAACCAACACAGACTTACTCAAATAAATAAAAAAAATGGGCCACACCTGTCCTTCAAATCAACTGTGGTAAGTCTACAAGATGCATTGTGCACTAAGCTCTTCTTTGCCATCTTGATCCGAGTGAGACTTATTTATGAAAGTGTGGTCAAAAGGATAGAGCAATTGCCATCTATATTTTAGTGACAATCACTGTTGATGAAATCTTCAGTCTGTATTGCTCTTCAGCAAAATATAAAATTCCTACTTTTTTGCTTTGTCATTTTCTGGTGTATGTTTCAATATGATTGCTTGCTATGGGGGAACAAAAACACACGGTCTTAGTTCTTCCCTCAGACAACTTAATAAATAAGTGCAATATAGTCTGACCTTTCAATTTCATAAAATACTACATTAGCAGCAGACAAGATTATGTGTTAAAGTATTACCAACACTCTCTACTGCTGGGAACGCTGTTGACTTCTCTTCTAACAGAGTTTCAATGAATATTCTCTATTCTAGGCTAGGATTTACTAGTACAGACCTTTGCAATGCAATAATTCATGATTGTCCATTAAAAATGTATAGCTATTAGCTGATATATTTGCACAATGCAAATTTCTTAATAGCTGAGAAAAAAAATATACACATGTTGCCAACGTTACAATTAAGTGTGTTCATTATTTGCACAAGTGACAAAAGCTTGTGCAGCATTACCAGCTGCAGCAAAGTGTGAACATCTGCTGTGATGATCTGTGATGATAAAAAAAAAGAATGGCATGGCTAACATCTCTTTCTAAAAATATTAGTTATCTTGGGTCACTGCTTGATTAGATTGTGAGAGATTGTACTTGCAGCAACTTTGTTACACTTTAGTAGCATGAAAAGGACTAAAGCAAGCTAGAGACAACTAGGTAACTACCATTTTTCAGAAGGAGGGCATAATGACATAACCTGTATTTTACACAAAAAGTGTGTTCGTGGTTTAATTAACCATTTTCCGGTTTTGCCTTTTACTGAACTAAGGCATGACTTCAAAAAGCACACAGAACTGTTTACTGCAGGGCAGGGACAGTTCTAAGAGGACTGACCAGATCACTGAACGTATAACTCCAGCCAAAGCTTTTATTTGAGGACACAGTGAGGAGCATTAGAACTTCTGTAATGTCATATTTACTGTATGAGGCCTAGATGAGAACATTTCCACTGTCTTCCCATACTGGTTACAGCATTGTCCTCAGAACAACAGAAAGTTAGGGGAAATCTCTAATAAGGATACAAACAACAACAAAAAGCTGATGGTTTTTCCAGCTTTTCTTCACACCTTTACGCATGCAACCTCCTAGGTTTGTTTACAACCTGCCATCCTTGTGACAATATGTCTATGCGTCAAGAAAAGACGTTCATTTGTACACATTTCTCTGATGTGCTAGTAACATTCTAATTCGTCATTGATTTAAAAGAGAACTATGGCCCAACCTTTTTTTTTTGCCATCGTCCTCTTTAGGGTCACAGGAGGACATATACTAATGTTCTCTTGTGACCCAAAACTCAGCACATAGCGGCTTTTACAGTGCAGAGCCATGTCGCAGCCGAGATGGATCCTGACAATATTGTCGGGATCCACCACTGCTGCCTGATTGATAGCTAGCTTTGCCTCTCTAGAAGCAGAGCCAGTTGTGCTCACACCCTCACCATCCTTTCCTTCAGTCATCACTGTAGGAACAGAGAGGGGATGGGGGGAATCCCTGCAGAGAGCAGTGACTGATAGTCACCACTCTCTGCAGGGAGATGATCAGGAACTAAGCGATCAGCGGTATGTTATTGTTCAGTTCCCAATCAATAAAGCCGACATGCAACAGCTTCAGTGTCACACATTGGCTCTATTTATGGGGATGAGTGTAATTCACTCTCCCCATATTTGTCCTTTAAGCGGTGCCATCCATAGTCATTTCAGCACCAATCCTTAACCCCTTTGTGACGGGAGACATACGCTGTATGTCCCGCAACGAAGTGCCCAAATGACTGCTCACGTACACAGTACGTGATCAGTTATTTGGGGCTCTGTAATGCTGGTAACCGCTGAGAATCAGCGGTTACCGTTCATTAATGGATGCCACAGTATTGAGGCACCCATTAATGAAAGAGTTAAGCTTTTTCAGACACCCGATCCCTTCAGGAAATGGGTGTCTGACAGTGAGAGCAGAGCGGCATTTGCAGCTCTAGCCGTCACCGACAGTTAGTATAGATCGGGAAATCCTGCTGTATATCAGCTTTTTTTTCCTCTAAACTTTCAGCAATAGAAACATTTCTATTGCTGAAACAATGTTGCAGGTTTCTGATCGTTGTTGGAACAATCAGAAAACCTTCAGTGACAACTGATCCTAAAATGCTGCAGAATCAGTGTCACTAAGGTTATTATTGGCTGTTCTTAAGTTTGAAGCAGCCAAATAATAACAAGGAATTAATTAATTTCATTATCAAGCAGTAATAGTGAGATTAATTCACAATGACTGCTTGATATAATAAAATAAAAATGTAAAAAATGTTTTAAAAAAGAGTGAATAAAAATAAATGTAACAAAGTAAAATTATATACTTAAATATATTTTTATACTATCATTAACTACCTCCCAGCCAGGAGCTTCTTGGATGTAAGTGTGCATGTATACACGTCCTGTTAGTCCCCCCACTCGTGCGTGCGGGAAAGACACATAATTTAAAAACCGGCAGCGATGCCTGTTAACATACAAGGGATCCGCCGGCTGAATCGCTTGTATGGGGTCCCGGTATGTGCGCCCCCTCCAAGGCTCCCCCCTCCCGCTGTCCCGCTGATCCCGGGCTCTGCTGTGCCCGGTGCGAGCCCGGGACCAGCATAGTGGCTCTCTGACAGGGGATTAGAGGGAGGTCGGTTCACGATCTCCCTCCGGTCCCCTCTCCGCTGTCAGAATGCGGAAGATGTGTATATTGCATCACTTCCGCATTCTCGTTTCACTCTTCAGTTTCAGATACTGGAGATAAGCTGATGAAGCAGATGTCTGCTTCATCAGCTTCTTCAGGGGGGTCCTAGGTGACATTAGGGGTCTTGGAGACCCCTTATGTCTCCATAAAGAGGACCTGTCACTTCTTTTGCTATCACATATAGGGGTTTCTTAGCCCCTCTGTGATAGCAATAAAGTTAAGTGGGGGAAAAAAAATAGGATTTTTTTTTTTTTTTTAAAGTCCCCACCCCTACATACACGCATGTAAACATGCGTCAGGTGCGCATACCTGCAAAAACGACGATTGCGCCCATTAGGCAGCACGTTACATATCGCTGCGAACATCGCAGTGAGAGCAAAAATGTTAGGGCCATCAATCACTGATAACACAAAACTGATGAGCTGTAAAAGCTTTTAAAGCGTCGTCTATGGCCAATTTTGGGTATGCTAGTTTTTTGCGATTTCGCGAGTGCGCGCAATTTTTAAGCTTGACATGTTTGGTGTCTATTTACTCGACGTGACCCTGTCTTTTATATTTTAACAAAAAAGTGGGTAATATTAGTTGTTTTATAACAGTGTTAAAAAAAACTTGATTTTTTTCAAAATTTTCTGTAATTTCTCCTGAATATAGTAAAAAATAAAACCCCCAGTGGTGATTAAATACCACCAAAAGAAAGCTCTATCTGTCCCCCAAAAAATGGTATAAAATTCATTTCAGTACAGCGTTGCATGACAGAATAAATGTCAAAGTACTGCAGCGCTGAACACTGAAAAATGACCTGGTCTTAAGCGCTTAATATAAAAATTAACCCATTACAATGAAAATCTGCAGCTGAGCTGTAGATTTGTTTTTCACCCTAAGGCCTGGTTCACACCTGGGCGTTTTGTAGCGCGTTCAAATGCTCTGCAAAACGCTCAAACACCGAAATGCAATTGTTTCCTATGGGTATGGTTCACACCTGGGCGTATTTCAGCCCGTCTGAACGCGCTACAAGACGGCCTACGCCCAAAGAAGTACATGTACTTCTTTGGTGCGTTTTGGTCATGCGTTTCCATTGGGATACACCCAAGCAGCCCTCGGAAATGCGCGTTTGTCACGCAGTTTTTTTTC